CCTTCGCTCCAGGCCAGCAACCTCCCCGGCCAGGCACCCAGCGCCAGCCAGCTGCGCGCGGGGCCGGGACCCGCGCTAAGAGCTGCTCCTTTTAGCTCACCTGTAGCGCAGCAGTTCCTTCAAAGCTGGCTTTGGCTGCTCTGGCCTCCTCTACTAATGTCCACAACGGCAGGGCCAGTCCAAAGTGGCCTCCAGACGGGTGTCCGTCCCTGCTCTGGGCAAATGCCTTGAAGCCTGGAGTGGCTGCACCCAGGCAGGCGAGATCTCATCAGTGGCTGCTCGGGCACCGATGCGCAGCAGCCTGCCATGCGCGTCCTCTGCCTGGGGCTCCTTCCTCTCCCCTGCGCAGGGCGAGGCAGAGAGCAGCTCCCTGCCTCCACAGGAGTGGGACCAGAGAAGTGAAAAGGAAGGATGCAAGAGGCAGGATCCAGTATTCAAGAAAACGTCTTTATTGTACACGTTGGCTTCTATTGCTTGTATGCCCTCCCCAATCCCATGTAGTGCAAAAAATTCAGAGAAACAGAGTTCCACATAAATAAGTCAGATAACTTACAGAGAAATCAAAGTGACGACGGTTTGACATGGAGCAGACCGAGTCTGCCTACCAGTAAGGCCAAGCGAACCTCTGCCCCCATGTCGGGGCAAGGCTCCTGCCTAGCCCTGCTGTCTCGCTGCAGACTAACACCGGGGTCCCTGGGTGAAACACATCAAGACACGCAGCCTGGAGCCACCCGCTCAGGGGTGCTCCTCCGCTGGGAAAAGCTCACATGGGAAATCACACAAATAACAATTTGGGTGAGACACCACTAACTAAAACTGGCAGAGAAGCCACACACAGTTGACAGTTCTGCTCCCCTCAGTTAGGGTGCTACGCACAGACAGACAGACACAGACGCACATCCCCTCCGAGGCCTCCTGCTCAGCAGGGGATGTGCAGCACCAGAAGCGATTCCACCCTGGGACCTCCCAGGGCAGACGCTGACACCTCGTGTCCACACAGTGTGGGTCGGGGTGCTCCGGACCCCCGCAAGCTGCTGGGGAACTATTTCACCCTTTCCTTCCTTTTCTCTTTTACAGGAAAGCAGTGAGCACCTGCATAGTTAGTACACCAGAGACACAAAAGGCTCCCTCCTCCCCAGGTTTCTGCTCAGTGGCTCAGTGGTAATATTGCTCAGGACCCAACCAGCGGGTGACAGGAGTCACACTGCCTGTTTCCCTGATCCTCAAGAGGCACGACAGCATCGCACACCATTTGTAGTGTAAATTGCTAAAGATTACAACTGGGGCTGAGGGCACACGGCACAAAAATCCTCCTCAGCCTGCTACACTGCTCGCTGCCCCTCTGGCTTTGCCTGCCTGCCGTCCCCCCAAGGCAGCAGCCCCCCTTCACACTACAGCAGCCACCGTTGGACCAGATGCTGAGCCACTGCTGTGACGACTCATTCCTTCTTTGAAAGCAGCCCTGTTTCTCCCTTCAGCAGTTCCCCTCTGGCCCTGCGCTGCCCCTCCGTGTCATACAGGACTCCCTTCGGCAGGCTGGCTGGGCTCCACCGCGCTTTCGCCATTCCTCACACCGAGGACTCAGCAGGACCTCGGCACGTCGGGCCGAGGCCCAGCACCAGCACCTTTCACTTCCGACGTAGCCATCTGGCTTTTAGACTAATCCTCCTTCAAAGAGGACCCGAAAGCCAGGGGCACCTTGAATGCGCTGGTCAATACGAGTCTAGCAGAAGACTAAAATCCTGATGTTGCTCATCAGAATGGGATGGAAAGGATAGAGACCTCACTCACGCGTAGGCACACGCACACACATGCACGCAACACAGCAGACTTCACCGATCTCATCGTTACTTCGAAGAAAGTAGACTCACCGACCTACTTAGGGCAGCCCTACTGCCACGTTGACCAAGAGGCAACCTGCATGAGCAGAGCCTGGACATTTGCAGGGTCCTCCGCAATACAGAAGAATGGGAGAGCTGCCGAGATGTGACAGGCTGGCGCAGAGGCTTGGCAAGCGAGAGAGGAAAGAAAAGCGGATTTAGAGTCTGTTCTAAAAGCCAAAAAGGCCGCCTCAGCCTGAGAATCCCAGACTGTCCTTGGGGAGAGGCTGGTGGGAGAAGCAGCCCAGATTTTCAGAAGCTGCTGGTAATTTCAGTATTAAATTGAGTCCAGTATTAGGCACTGTAAGTGGGCTTGTAAAACATGCAGGCACCTGTCCAGGAGAAATCAGATGGCCGTAAAAATTGTCTTAAGTTGGGGAGTCCCTGTCTCATCTCAAACTCTCCTTTCACCCCAAAGAAAGCAGAAAAGAATAAATGTTTAGCCACTTGAAAATTTAGGCCAACAAATACCATCACAAGTGAAATCTGAACTCTGTAAATGAGAAATGAGGAGGAGCAGGAGGAAAGGATAAAGGAATTAGTTCAAAACAAACAGACTGTATTTCCAATGCTACATTCGAACACTACTGAGGTACCAGCGGTTGAGTCATTCCTCTATAATGTGGAGAACACCTGGTAATACGTCTCGGTTCAAGGCTCATACACACACCCTACAGCATATGCATTGAAAACACCACCCAAAAGATTCCGTGGCACAGGTGGGTCTAGGACAGGCCTGTGACTTACAGTACTAATTTATTCAACCTTTAGTTAATTAAAGTGGTTGCTTAATTGCCAGGGAGTCACTAATTGCAAATGGTCCCTTCCATGCTGTTTTCGCTGTACATACGGTATCTCACACATGCACACACACCCACACATCTATAGAGAACATCTTCCAGGACACAGTTATCATCTCATCAACAAATGAGAAAAGTAATTGCATCCCTTCTGCTGCCTTAAAAGCAGATGGGATGGGGAATGCCAGGATAGTGTAAAAAAATAAAGGGATATGAAGTCATTAAAAATTAAAATATTAGCATTAAAAAAAAAAAAAAAAAGGCAAAAAATTAACACCCAAAAAAGTAATGCCAGGCAATCCTCATTTAGAAGGCTGGACTGTTCTTGTTTAAGAACTGGTATGAAACCTTTCCATAAACCCAGAATCTGCTTTGCAGAGAGGGGAACAGCAAACAGGCCGATCCGTTCCCAGCCTAACCAGGACCACGTGCAGCCGCACAATGAGTTGAACCTGGGACAGCAATGGCATGGATGCAGGCAAGGTCATTCAACCCACCTGCCCGCTGGGGACTCCCCAGAGCAATGGTCAGCTGGGTTCTTAGTGCATGAGGTGCGGCCAGCTGAGTATGGAAACACTGGACAGTTTGGGATGCTGCATCCAGTTTTGTCTCCAAACCTCACCTTCTCCAGGCCCTGTCCCTTAGCTGGGCTTCTTTTGTTTGCGTATTTTAAGGCATCAATTAGACACCATTGAGAACCATACAGTGGCCTCAGAGTCTTTAACAGTGCACAGTAGGCTTGGTAAAGAGTTTGGCTACAGTGACATTCAGAGGAATGGTTGCACATTCAGCCGTGTCCTTGGGAGGAGCGCTGTCCCCCTCTGCCGCCCCGCAGGACTCCTGGAGGCCTCCAAGGCTGGCTGTGCTCGTATGTGTGGCACCGGCTGGATCCCGTGAATCCAAGAAGCAGCAATGGTTTGAAGTTTCCCCTCCCCAAAGAAAATATACGCCCTTTGGGTGAGTGGTGAGATGACTCTGAACGGAGCAGAGAGCAGCCCCTCTCCTCGCCCTCTAGGAGGGTGCTCGTCCAGGAAGCACATTTCTAACTGCTGTGGTCGTGCTGATCCGATGTGTGCACCAAGTGGGGATGGCTCCAGGGGTTCACAGGAGTGCTGGGGCTGGAAGCAGCAGCCGGTACCTTCGCTTTACTCCTACAGCGACCAGCTGCCCCGCGGGACAGATGACGCTGGCCTAGCGCTTCACCAGGTGCCCCTGTCCCCTTGAGGTAAGGTAGGTCCTGATTCTTTGTCAAAGGCTCGTCGAAGACACCGACAGGGTGGGCGAGGAGGGGGGTGGGAAGTTGAGGAGTTCCAGCACGGCCACCCCCACGCTGCTCCGACGTGTGAACATGCACGAGGCTGCTACCCACTTGTTGGTACGAGGGTTGTACTTCTCGATGGAGTTTAGGCTGGAGCTCCCATCGTTGCCACCCACTGCGTACAGCCACCCATCCATGGCCACCAGGTCGTGGGTGCTCCTGGAACGAGCAGGCAGAGACCACAGGGGTGTGAGGCTCGAACGTACGAATGGCGTACGTGGCGTGCAGGGAAGCTCAGCACCTCAGATGAACTGGCCAGAGCTCTGTCACCCCACAAAAAGGAGTGCCCAGCCTCACAAATGCCCAGAGAAAATGAACTACTGGGGCTCAGTCAGTCAGTGGCAGCGTGCAGTATAGAGCCTCAGATCCTCCCCGTCTCTCCGACACCCTTCTCCCACCTCTAAATAACAGGGCCTAGGCGCCTAAAATCCTTGGGCTTCCAAGCCTTAAATCCTCTCACATCCCAGCAACATCTCCTACATGGCCTCAGCCAGCTACACCACCTGGTCCTTTACGGCCACACAGACTGCTGAGGATAAATGCCTCTGCAGAAAGCGCCTGCTGCAGAATGTCCCTGCTCTGCCCTCCGGGCACACACGCACCGGTCCCTCGCGGTGCCGCAGGGAGCGCGGGCTGCCTTTTTGCAGGCAGCACAGAGCCAGCCAACTGCAGCGTTAGCCAGGCCCGGGGGCACGGGCTGCACGTCATGGTTTGCAGCGCCAGGCAAGGCAAGGCTCTCTGAGATGGGTTCCCCGTTCCTGACTGCAGCAGCTGAGGCTGCCCTGCAGCTCAGGAGCGTGGCAGGGGCAGAGCTCCTTACCTACGGATGTTCATGGGCGCCACGCTCTCCCATGTGTTGGTTTTGGGGTTGTAGCGCTCAACAGAGTTAAGGCAGCTGGTCCCATCGTTGCCGCCAGCCACATAGAGCATCCCTTCTAGCACGGCCACGCCTGCACTGCTCCGGCGGCTTAGCATGTTGGCAATGGGTGTCCAGGTGTTGATCTGGGAAGAGGCAATGTTTGTCTGTGAGCCAGATGTACAAGTCATTTTCAGCGTACCCCTGCCAACCCAGCCCTGTGATATTAGTCCTGCTCTAACCACACGGCTCCTGGCACAGACTTTTGGGGAGACCCCACTTCTTTCCTTTCAGCGCTCCTGCAGGAAGAGCTGCAGGCCCCAGGAGACACCTCTGCCAAGTGCCTCAGAAAGCAGCGCCGCAGCTGGCAGCGGTCCTGCCATCCCCGCGGCCTGAGCACAGAGACCTCTGTGCCAGGCCACCCGTCACCTCACAGCTGAACCCCAGCCCAGTCATGAGGGTTGAGCTGTATCCATTTCAAACCTGTGCAAGTCATGACTGTGGTTTTACAGCTCATGAAAAACCTCCAGGACCTTCTCTTTGCTCTTTCTGCAGTGATCTAGCCTGCTCTAACAGAGCTGTGAGACTTCAGGCCCAACACATGTCCCCAGCCTGCCGCAATGCCCACTAACTGCTCTGGATGTGCATGCAGCAAGGACCTCAGCTGGAAGCTGGAGACAGCTCATGGCATGAACAAGAACTGTCTTCCTAGAGAACCTGAGCTGGCCTACGGGCAACGGCGACAGGACCACGCATGGTGGCTCAAGTCTCCAAGGAGGCAGGCAGGTCTGTGCTGCACAGGCTCATGTGGGCACACCTTCTGCTCCACTGCCACTGCAATACTTTGCTAGGAAGTGGTCACATCTTCACCTACCGCAGCCGTTTGCTAAAAGACCACGTATAGCTGATCTCTCACGGTCTCCTAAGTTTTCCCTAGCAACTTATGTGGCCCTCCGCTTTCTGCAGGGCCCTTTCAGGCACCCACCAGGAGGGGAGAAGTAAAAGGGTTACCAGGCATGCTCTCTCTTGTATTTACCTGGGGCTCATACTTTTCTACTGTGGCTAAGTGGGATGAGCTGTCATATCCCCCAACGGCATAGAGGTTGCCTTCTGCAAAGACAGTCACACACGCACAGAGTTAGCTAAAGAGCACGGCCCCAGTCCTAGCACAGCCCCCCACAGCTCCTGCACTGGGTGCCCACGTGGGGATCTCTGAGCCGCAGTGCCTCCCGCTCCCAGGCAGCCAAGCTCCTCTCAGCAGGGCTCCCCCAGCTCCCCCTCCCCTTGCAGCATGGAGCACCGTGAAATATTCATCAGGCAATTTTGCTGCCACACTGCAAGCTCGTTTGCCTGCCGCTTCTTGACCTCCTCAGTATGGGAGCTGCAAGTGCTCCCCGCCAGAGCATGGGGTTATTTTTAGCAGCGCAGGCTGGAGCAGGGGAACGCCAATAAAGGCTGTGGCAGGCAGAGAGTATGAGCTGGTGATGGAGGGGAGGGAACCTCCGAGTCAGCACTGAGAGCTGAAACCAGAGACGGGACAGGGGAGAGGCACCACAGGGACACGGGGACACTGCACAGCAGCTCCGGGGATGGTGGGGAGCAGCGTGCTACCCTGGCATCCCCAGGGAGGTCCAGCACCTGCTAGGGTGGAGAGTGGTACTTGCATTGACCCCGTAGCTGCACTGAACAATGAAGTGGCCAGTTCTCACACTGCACCCTCCTTAAGGACAGAACTCATTCAATGGAGTCAGGAGACATCACAGCATTGCACCTAATGTTGTGACATCCCTGGTAGAGACAGTTTTGACCCTGCACTACTGCTTGGATCATCAGTAAAAGGACTGTCCTGCTTTCATAATGAAGTAGTAATAAGGTTGTCTCTTCCTTTCTAGGGATAGGTGACCATCCACAGCTAGCCCTCTTGCTCCGAAGTAGAAGGGGCACAAAGGAGCCAAGGAACAAGCGGGGGATCCCCTCAGGAGTTGCCTCCAGAATGTGATGAAACCCAGTTACTAGGGAGACTGAGGAGGAAGGCAGAGGCAGGGAGGATGTCAGGACAGGGCAGAGGAATGGCTAGGTTATCTGGACTCACAACCAGGGAATCTCGGAAGAAGGGGCAGGAACTAGAACAGAACAACATCAAAAGGAACCACCAGAAATGCAAGAGAGAGTCTGCACAGATGTCAGTCAGGTCCTGATGCCATCACCCACCTAGCGTTGCCACCCGGACGTAGCGTCTCCTGGTGCTCATGGCAGCGATGGATGTCCAGGTGCCTGTCAGAGGGTCGTACCGCTCTGCGCTGCAGCAGGCAGGGACACAGGAACATAAGGTGTGACACTGGCAAAGCCCAGGTCAAAGCTCTTTGACACAGGCCCTCAGGGGCAGCTCCCAAGGAAGCTTGGGAATAGACAGGGAAAATGGAGGGAAGAACTGACAAAGGCTGTGTTCTGTTGTGGCAGAGGGATACAAAATGGGTTTTCCCCTGAAGAAACTTGGCCTGTGCCAAAGACACCAGAAGACAGAGCTGGATTGCACGACATCTACCCTGGGGCCAGTCCATCTGTCAGGAGTAGGCCTTGTGGGCTCCCCAGGCGCCCAGCGCCAAGAACAGTACATGCAAGAGCAGTGGAGGAGACTGTAGCAAGGCAATCCCCTACCTGTTCAGGCACGAGGCCCCATCGTACCCCCCAGCAGCATAAAGAAGCCCATGAAGTGCTGCCACACCCAGGCAGCTCCTCCTGGTGCCCATGGACACCTCAGGTTGCCAGGAATTTGTGACAGGATCATAGGACTCCACTGTGGCCAAATCAGAGGTCCCATCGTAGCTGCAGGGAGAAAAAGAGGGAACATGTAAGAGCTGGGGAGCCTGGATTGCAGGTGAGGCTGTGGGTTGGTCCTACAGCTCTGGAGCTGACCAAGAGCCTTGGGTCCCTGTCACCACCCCGTCCCTCTCCTCCCCCCGCCCAGCTTCCGCAAGGCAGAGTGCACCAAGGCTGAAAGCACAGAGCCCTTCGCTCAGCTCTCTTGGGGTCTGCAAAGAAAGCAGGTCTCAGAGGGCCCCGCACGCCGGGGCAGAGGTGGGCTGGGAGTTAGCAGGCTTTTAACAGCCTGCAGCATCGGGCTAGGGCAAATGGGAGGAAATAGCGCAAGTCCAGGACATAGCCACCACCAAACCGAGCAAACTCACTGCTCGGAGCTGCAGGAGCAGGGGAGTAGTCTTTGGTTGCTACTCCTGCAGTTAGTAGCCCAGAGATACCGGATTGCTTCATCCGGAGGCTGGCCCTGGGAGGCTCTGCCGGCCGTCTCTGCTCCCGGAGCAGCTCTGTGCCGCTCTCGCCGCCGGCTCTGCTCAGAGGCTGCCGAAGGCGTCCCC